TCCTTGAAAAGATCAGTTTCTTATAAATACTACTAATTTATATAATAAATTATATAGGCCAAACTAAATAAACAGTAATACTACAGTGTGATATAAATAATAAATAGTTTGTGTTTTTATTTAATTTACTTTAAGGTCTGTCTCTACTATAAGTATTAAGCCGCATTCAGAACAGTATAACACTCTACAAAAAACATTCGCGTTTCAAAACGCCCGTTTGGCAGTAAATAACTGATTTTTTTTTGTGGGATGATAGGGCTATTAGCAAACCATACACGAAAAGGATAAGGCGCCTAGCAATACCTCACTGGTGGCAGTGTAGAAATTTGCCTTAATAAAACAGCGATTATCCAGACGATACTTATTTACCTACAACCTATATTTTTTCTTTCTTTTGTGCTCATAATATATGTTAAGATACAATTTATGTAGTGGTGCATGCCATCAGCGATGAACACATTAATGTACTTATTTAATTTACTTTTATCGTAATAGGCGTATGAATATAATGTGTAGTAGTAAATCGTTCGTTTATCTCAGATGTTTGATAATCGGCACTGCTTACATTCTCCATTGATATAGCTGCTAAGTTTTATCGAAGTTCACGGACTTCCACTCTTTCTTATTCTGATTGTGAGCTAATCTACGCATTTCGCTAAAACTAGAATACCCCAGATTCTTACTAAAAACGAATCAGTGCATTTTCACCCATTTTCAGTGAATATTCACTATAATCGTAACAATTATGATAACAGCAGCATAAATTAGCAGTTACTAACTGAATAATGAATTGAATTAAAAATACTGCTTGAATCAATGAAACAAAAATACTGATTGAATTAGTGAATTGAAAAAGCTAATTATGTCAGTTCTCTTATTATTACCTAATTTATCTATAAGTATTTTATTGTTTTTCTTGTTTTAATTGTTTATTCTATATTCAATTTAATATTTGTAGAGCATTGTTGCAAAATGATTATATATATATTGGTTACGTCCATGTTTGCAGATAATGTTTGCCAATGCAAATTGTAATACAATTTCACATAAAGCACCCTACAAAGTACTGTTTTGTTGGGAAATAAAAAAGACAGGTTGACCCTCGCTTTTGATAAGTATTGATTTTTTTAGGTGAACGTTAGGTAACATTTTCAACAATCTTTCTAACCACAGCAACAAGTCGTATAATTTTACCCTTGACTTACGGATTGCGTTCAGACCTTTTGATCTCAATTTTCTGAAGAAAAGTATAAAAAGTTCGTATTAAAAATTTTCCAATTTTCCCGCTTGCCCTTGATCTTGCAGAACTAATCTAGCTGCTTTGATTAAACTCCTTTCGTCTGACTTTTTGAACTAACTTTTCTGCAGCTAATAAGGTATTAATAAAGAAACGTTGAGTTGTTAATTACGATGTTAAGACGTAGTTGCTGGTTGGCAACTATGTATTGATCGATTTTGACAAGTCTTTGTAATGTCTGTGATATATTCATTATGAAATTGTACGATTTTAATGGTTCTTGCAAATGCTATTACGAGTGACTTGTAAACATAGATATTAGTAATGAAACGATTATTACTTAGCGATTACTATTATGATTACGATTTCGATTAATAGCCAACGACTGTGCCGGGAAGTCCCCAAAACATCAAGCCAGAAAGTAGCGAATCGGATACACGCATGAACAAACGATAGTTTGCATTATGCGTATTTATAAAGTATGTTAACAATAGAAATGAATTCTTTTGAAAATAAATGTCTTAAATAATCACAATGATAATCGACGATTATGATTAATCGTGAATGTTGATAATTGTCGATTACGATTAATTGTGAAATATTGATAATCGTCGATTACGATTAATCGTTTTACCACTAATAAACATAAAGAAACATTTTTGTATGGGAATTTTTTAAAAATCTTGAGTGACCTCTTAAAATTTTTTAATCGAACTAATTTTTAAGATATTTTCATCTGAGATCAAAAAACTGAGAAAATGTTCGTTTTTTATTGGTTACCCCAATGAAGGTATGTTGATTCTCTTCTCATGGAGTTTATGTTTTCAATACATAAATAATACGGTAAGGGTCTAGATGATGGCCGGGGGGTCGAAAAAGGAGGTCTCCCCCACCACTGTACCATAAAATGTTCGTGGCGGTCTCACCCCCATAAAAAGTTGTGGGGGTTCAAAGTTAATAAATATGCCAATTTTTATACATTTATAGGCATGTAAATATTTATATAGTCCTTCCTAAACAATATTCAAAGGTAAAACTAATGAAAAATACATAAAAATATTGAGAAAGTTATATTAATCATTATTTAAATATCTTTATCAATACGTTAGGTTAGGTTAGGTTATCGGGTTTTGTTCAAGTGACCAGCCTCTTTCGATCCTCCACCTCCACCCACTTGAAAATAATTATTTTATTGAATTTTACTTGAATTATAGTGTATGAAAATTGTCAAAATAATCAACTTTCAACCCCCATAACTTTTTATAGGGTGAGACCGCAGCAAATTTTTATGGGGTTTTACTCATGTGACCACTCTTTCGATCCCACCTTCGGGGGTGGGGGCCATCATCTAGACCTTTACCAATAATACTTTTGAAGCGTAAAAGATTTTCTATAGAAAATGCTAAAGCGTAATGAGTATTGGACGCCATAATGGTTTCCATTTAACTGATTACGTATTAGCTGATTAATGATTAAATATATTATATATTACTAATGTACCTATCAATATGTCGGGATTGCATCAAAGTTTGCAATCGGCCTTTTAACAAGAAAAATGCATTTTAATCTGTTTTTCTTGAGCTGAAATGGAATATTTGTGAATTGAAAGTAAGTACCTAAATGTTGTGGAATTCTCGGAGTCGTCACAGACGACGCAATTTCATTATGTCTGCAATTTTATGCAGTTTGAATATCTGCACATCTCCTTTTCGTTTGATAGAGAGCGAGTTAATTATGAAAAGAAGCTTTTAAACTTTTAGCCCGTGAACAATCTTAGCATCGTTTTCATTGAGTACTATTCAGTAAAACAAGATATAACTTGAAGTCTATGAAGCAAGATGCTGAAAGTAGTCCTTGCAAAATCCTTGAAAAGATCAGTTTAAATAATATCGCGTTTAACTAAAGAAATTCTTTTCTTCTTTGATCTTCTTCTTTATGGAGGAATATTTCCCGCATTAAAAATGTATGCGGGTGAGTTCGTAAGCTTTATTGTTTCACAGAATTTGATAAATTGTGAGGTAGAGATTTCCATGAGGGTTTCGGTTCTTATTTTGAGGTAATGTACAAAAGATACAAAAGCAAGTTGGAGGTTTTACTGTTCTAAACAGCGTGGCTTATATGACATTGTGAAACGTAGAAGCTCTAAAGAGCAGAAACAGAATAAGGGTATGTGAATGCTGTATGAAGAACAATGCATATGCAACAAGTAAATAACAAGAAAAGAACAACTAAAAAGAATCGCAGAGAACAGAAGAGAAAGAAGGATTCAACTGCAGATGAGAAGATGCAACGTGCGTAATATTCGCAAGGTTTGATCTACCTTTGCTTTATATATGTAGGCGTCTCAAATATCAACAGCGATAACAATTGATGCAAATATTTTAATAGAACTTGTTAGAACATAATACTTACAAAGTTTTTGTGTGGGCTGCTATTGGTAGCAATATGATCTCCTTTTTTGGATTAAAAGGCGTGGAAGCAGTAAACGAAACATGAAAGCAGATTATCTGCCAAAGAAAGCTGCCAATACTGTAATACTTATTTACGATCCTTCCATTTTTATTGACACCCACACTCAGAGGAGATTATCAAGGAAGTCCTATCGTATCTATCTTGTCAAGTAACAAAGGGGTTTTTCCTTTAAGGAATTTGGACAGAACAGACTGTATCCTTATGTTTACCAGAAAAACTACTCTTGATGAGAAATAATAGGTATAGTAGCCATATAAATACGAACGTTCCTTTAGAAATTTATTAACCAGTTTAAAGATTTGGTGAATAAATACCCCATATCCTATACCAAAAGACTTAATGTGTCGATGTATTTTTTTAGAATAATGTATTCTGCACAATCAAGTTTCCTTGCTGTTGGGTTAAATTATTTAAAGCTCAATTAGATGAACTTTTTAAGAGGTCCATTGAATATTTGTACACAGTACCTTTTGCAGAAAAATTCATATGAAATACCTTGAATTCTTTAAAAAGTACGTCATAAAGGATACTTCCATTCGACAACATCTATGCACAACTTCCTAACAGGGTTTTTGAGCGGCAGACAGAATAGAGCGCGCTGGGGCCGATCTGGAGGCGGTTTTCCTCTGCGCACCGGGCGCTTGGGGGCAGCCGGCGGACGGGCCCCCGCTTGACCCGGGCTCGTCACGCCCGCCCCCACTGTACTCATCGCGGTGTGTGCTGTAGCGGTGCTAAGTGGGCCTTGCCATGCACAGCCTGCTGTGAATGGTGGCACTGACGATACCGGCTGAACAGACCATAGACGGTTGTTACTCCCGGCGCCGTTACTACCACCGTTACTTGCCTGACTTGTAGTCGAACGGATCTGTTGTTGAAACTGTTGATTGTTGTTATTAGATGTTGTAATTGTTGTTGTTGTTGTTGCAGGATTAGCCGACTCCTGTGAAAGATCATACTGTAGACCTGAAAAAAAGGAACTGTTGTTAAAACCTGTTTTATCTACATACTATATAATATTTGTTTGTTAGTTTGTTTAGTATAGGTACATATGAAATCGTAATTTAATTTGAAATAACTGTCGCACCCTTTAGGGATAGACTATAATCCATTAAGGACATCATTTTTTTATAAAAACCTTTAACAAAAAATTAAACCGGCGAAAAAACTGAAAAGCAAAAAACAATAAACCTTTATTTTATTAACCTTAATAACTAAGTTCTTCAACTAATGTAAGTATACCTAAGTAATTGTGAGTCGGCGCTAAACAATCAATAAACAAAGATCACTAAATTACCTTAAATTTAAAGAAATAACCATTGCATTGTTAATTTGGTTATTTCTTTAAATTTAAGGTGATTTAATGATCAATAAAATGGTTTAGCGCCGACTCAAAATTACTTAGTTATACTTACATTAGTTGAAGAACTTGGTTATTAAAGTTAATAACATAAAGGTTTATTATTATTTTTGCTTTTCAATCTATTAAATATTTTCCTACTATAAATCATCCCCTGTTTTCCTACCCTTAGGGTTAGATTTTTTTCCAAGTTTATATGGGACCAACTTCCGGGTATACCCTTTCCAATAAAAATAGAATTATCAATATCGAACTATTCTGTCAAAAGTTATGCATGGTCATACATATATCTACAATCNTTCCAATAAAAAAAGTTATCAAAATCGGACTATTCTGTCAAAAGTTATGCGTGGTCATACATTACAATCAGTGAGTGAACAACAATCAACAATCATCCCCTGTTTTCCTACCCTTAAGGTTGGACTTGAGAACCTCCTCCTTTTTTTCGTCAGTTAAAAATGCTCATGAATTCATTCTTACGACGAGAAATAGTTATAAACTTCGAGTACTATATAGTGTAGATAAGTTTGTAAGGGTAGAACTGAAGCGGCCAGTTTATAATTACAATTCTGTGAATATACATAGTACCAAAATTATTATAAATCACTATCATTCAACATTTTTAGAAACACATTAGGAGTGAAAACCAAACGAAATTGGTGGGTGTATTAGTGTGATACGAATTATACTGTTCTTCTTTGTGTCGGACTATTATTTCTTTTCATTTTTTGACAAACTGACAGAACTGATGATTTTTGTGATATCATCGAACTGTTTCTTCCCCTGCTTAACATTTGCATTGTACAGTCACTTCTCAGAAAATACTTTTGAAGTATTTAGTTTTACCATGTACAAACAAAGCCCGACTCAACGTTACTTAAACAAAATGTGTGTCAAATTTTCCTTTTTTGAAATCGTTCAGTTGTTGGGATATTGTGTCATTATATCGACAGCTTTTTTCTCTGCCTATCTGGGATTAGATACTACTCATTCGTCTCATACGCTGTTGTGTTTTACCCATAATAGTTTTACCGGTATTTGGAAGGATCACCTTACAACAGCTACAAAGCTGCAACCTTTTTCGTTAAAATATCACATTACAGTATTTTTATAAAGCCTGGTAGTATGATCTAATTAATTGTTTATTTAGGTAGATACCTTGGAAGTATTAAACCGAAAAGCTTAAAAACATTTCAAATAAGACTATTCGAGAACTATTTTCAGATAAAATAGGTATTTATTTATTAACAATATTACCCAGCGTTTCATCCCTAAGTTTGGGGTTCTTCAGTGGTTCTACAATTCAATTTCAACTAATTAATTAATTTAACCATTCTTACATATGATAGATTCTGGTACATACAATTGTATAGTCATAAATTTTGAAAATAGGAAACTACTTTTCCATATAAAATTAATTAAGATAACTAAAATAATAAATAAAGAATTAAAATAATTAACTTACTCGGCCATNCAGTTATAGAGATGAGGCTGCAACGTAGTAAATATTAGGAAGGGAGTCAGACAGGGGTGCACACTATCACCGTTTTTTAATCTATACCTCTAAGACGCGATCAACATCATTAAAGACAGTACAGCTATAGGGATAGATATACAGGGTCAAAAGCAAGAATTTTTTTTTAAATTAAGAATATATAGCGACATCTCTAAATTAAATATTAATCTTAAGTTATAATAAGTAACGAACTCTGCAAAGTTAATCACGTTTGGTAATTAATATATAGATGACCAAGAAATCAATTATAGAAAATTTTTTTGAGAAGATACTTTTTTTTTAATATATATTAAATTGTACAACCGCTAATTAAGCCAATAAACGGGTAGATAAATCATAAAGAAATGGCCAACAAGGAGTGTGAGACATTATTATTTATAAACCAATTGATCCGACGGGACTTGAATCTTGACGAAACTCTTGTACAAACTAGAGTGGGTGGATCGGCTTGCAAGTTTCCATGATTTAGGGAACCGGACTATAGGTTCAACCATAATGGGAGGGTTCTTAAAGAGAAACCAGACTAAGACAAGTCTCTGAAAGAGGGCAGCAGCTCTTTCAGTACTCAGGGTGACAGAGATCACGAGGATCGGTATGATACTCTGATGCACAATACTGCGATGCGGAAGGCAACGGAAAACCACCACTTTATGATATTCCAAGAAAAATAAACCGAACTCAAATGATGGCGTCCTCTTGGATAAAGCATGTAGTACTAGTAGTATTCAGATGTCCGGTCGGGGACTACCTCGGGGATGTCATCAATAAGTGCAATAGGGGTAGGTGTGATATTTCACCAGTCAAAGCGTGGAGTGTTACGACAATGAGGCAGGTAGGGAAATTAGAAAATTTAAAAGTAGAGATGAATAGATTAGAATTACATATAGTAGGTATTAGTGAAGTGCGTTTGCTCGAAGCTGGAGACTTCTGGAGTGGAGACTTTAGCGCAATACATACACGATAGGTGGAAGGTAATTCGGGGGTAGGAACTGTAATGCGTAGGAAAGTAGGGCAGTGTGTAGAAAGTTATTTACAAGAAGGCGATAGGATAGTTATGGTTAAATTAAACTCGAAGCCGGTAAAAACGGTATTAATGCAGGTCTACATGCCTACATCATCTTACAGTGATGAAGACGTAGAGGCGGTTTATGCAGATATAGAAGACGTGTTAAGTTTAGAGAAAGGGCAGGAAAACCTAATAGTTGTAGGAGAATTCAACGCAGTAATAGGTGAAGGTAAAGTCGGTGCAATAGCAGGTTCTTGGAAGATGCCAGGTGATTTAGGGAGATATCAGTTAGATTACATACTTTTTAAGCAAACATTTAAAAGTCAAGTGGGACTGTAGGAGTTATCCAGGAGCAGATATAGATAGCGATCATGACTTAGTAGCTATGAAGACCAATCATAAATTTAAAATTCTGAAAAAGAGGGAAGGTAGGAGATGTCTTGAATTAGAAAAGCTAAAATGTAACGAAATGCGTGATAGGCTAGGTGAAAGGACAGACGAAATATTAAAGGCGGCCGGAGAAACGAATGACAGGGACATAGAGACAGAATGGAACTGCATTAAAACATGCCTAAAGTCAGCAGCTACAGACATACTAGGCGTTAAGCAATACGAAAGTAGGAAACCCTGGATAACAAATGAGATTTTAGGATTAATAGAAGATAAGCGGAAATACAAAAACAGGACAGAAGAAGGGTAAAAAAGATATAAGGTCATAAAGTGGGAAATAATTAGGAATTGTAGGGTAGCTTAGGAACAGTGGATTGATAGGATGTGTAAAAAAGTAGAAGAAAAGTTTGAAATAGATAAAATCGATGAGGCTTATAATACAATTAAAAGGAATTCTAGAGATGTAGTGTACAGTAGTAACAATATGAGAAACGAGCCAGGGGTCATTTTGATAGAAAATGAGGAAAAGGCAGAAAGGTGGAAAGATTAATCAAAGAACCTATGTGCAGGCCCTGACTTTGGATATATATTACAGAAGGAAGATAGTGTGAAGATATATGAGTTAGGTTATCCTATAGTGCGAGAAGAGTTCGATGTAGCATTAGAAATCGTAAAGAATAATAAGGCGCCAGGTGTAGATGGGATACAGGGGGAAATTTTAAAATATGCAGGACAAGAGGTTGGAGATCGTATGTTTAAGCTAGTTAGTCACATTTACGAGACGGTGAAAGTCCCAGAGGATTATAAACCGAACGTGGTAGTAAATTAGTAATCTAAAAAAAAAGAGGCGCGGATAGGTGCGAGATATTTAGAACAATTAGCTTGACTTTCCATGCGTCAAAAATCTTAACTAAAATTATACAGAGGAGGATGAAAAAAGGGCGGAAAACCTGTTAGGGGAAGATAATTTTGGGTTAAGAAGAAATAGAGGAACGCGGGAGGCCATTCCAGCTTGACGGGTAACAATAGAGAAAACGATAAAAAAAAGAAAGAGGGCGTACGTAGAATTTGTAGATTTAGAAAAATCTTTTGACAATGTTAAATGGGACAAGATGTTAGTTTGTATAAAGAGCAACAGGCAGTTATAGAGATGAGGCTGCAACGTAGTAAATATTAGGAAGGGAGTCAGACAGGGGTGCACACTATCACCGTTTTTTAATCTATACCTCTAAGACGCGATCAACATCATTAAAGACAGTACAGCTATAGGGATAGATATACAGGGTCAAAAGATTGGTGATTGCTTAAATTTTCAGATGATATAGCAGTATTAGCATCTAACAAGGAGGAGTTAGAGATAGCTTTAAATAAAATGGAAACGGTATTGACAAAATATAACAGTATATAAAGATAGGAGTCGAAAAATTAGAAGAAGTAGCTGATTTTAGGAATTTAGAAAGTCAGATAAGTCAGGACGGAAGAAGTAGTAGGGATATAAAGCAGAGTATAGCGCAGGGTCGAGTCGCCTTCAATAAAAAGAAGTCACCTCTATACTCACGAAAGGTTAATTTAGAAGTTCGAAAACGATTTTTAAAGGTGTATATTAGGAGCACGACGCTGTACGGGTGCGAAACATGGACAGTGGGCGCGGAAGAAAAGAAAAGGTTAGAAACGTTCGAAATGTGGTGATACAG